TGACTCAGGCAACGGTCCGCGGCAAGACTTGAACTGGTCAGCCAGTGACTCAGTGGCAGGCGAAAGCAACCGCTCCATGATTCGCAGTGTCAGTGAGCCACAGAGGTCAGGCTGGTGGAAAACCAGCGACTTACGTTGGCAAGGCTGTGTGATGCTAAGGCCTGTGTGATTCACTTGAGTAGTCGATTGAGTCATGTGTGAATCACAGTGAAACGTGTGACGTTGTCATTGTGACATTGTGACGCTGTGTCGTTGCAATGGATGTGACGCGTTTTCTACTGATGCGCTAGGTCGTGCTGAAGCCATATCTCATCTATGACTTTGACGCCGTCTCACAGGCCAGTCGTCTTGCCATAATATGCCATAGTAGCCCAAGCTGTTTTCTTGTAAGTGAGTGGAGACGACAAGTGGCTGCTAATGACTGCATTGCTGGTGGCATGACGCGACATGACATCATGACTCAATGACTCCTCCAGCGCTGCGCAGGCAGCAAGAGCATCTTACTTGCGTTCAAGCCTCCGCGCGAGCTGGAGTTTGAGGCTGCCGTACTGATGTGGTTGCTACTGCTACTGTTCAGGAAGTGCCGATCAGAATCACAATGGTTCTTTTCCCGCCCTGCCTGCCTTACGGTGTGTGGCGCTTTGAATTCAAGCCAATGACTGAGCCGGCAAGGCCGGCAGCTTGGGCAGGCTCAGTCAGTGTGGGGCCTTCTGCGCTAGACTCAGATTGATGCGGACTCGACTTGACTCTCACTCTTTTGCCATTGTGTGAAACTGATCTCAGACTCACAGTCACATGAATCATAATCATTTCTGGCCCAGGCAAAGAGACGTCTCTGCAGCTTCTTGCGGAGTTCGGGCAGGCCGACGTCAGTCAGTCAGTGACTCAGTAAGAGAGTGGCAGGCGGAAACGCAACACTGCTACTTTGTCAAATTTGCCAACGATGGGCCCATGCCATTAAACTACATGACTGACATCAATCACAGTTCCGGCCAGGCGAAAATCAGTTCAACTGCGGGATGATGATTATAGGCCTGGCCACGCATGATGCCCCTCCAACAACAGTGTCACACAGTGTGATTGGCAGTTGAGTCAACTTGTCAACACAGAGCTTTCTTTCTGAGGTCCGGTCCGAAGTTGGTTTGTGAAGAGCTGTGTCAGATTCTCAGATCCCATGATCAGAATTGTGGATTGCAGTTATGCAACTTGACATGCTAGGCCTTCAATCGTCTCCTACGAGGATTTCTCAGACTCAGTGAGACAGACTCAGGCCGGCGGTTCGCTCATAAATAGCCGACAAGCCTTGGATTCAATGAGTTTTACAGCGCGTTTTCGCGCTAACGTGTGCTGAGCAGAGTGCCAGAGTCGCAGTTGCAGCAATATTAGTATTTATTTGTCATGCCCCCCGTTCTTATTGGGCTCAAGTGAGTGGCTCCTGAGGCCTCGTCTACCCAAGATCCATTGTTGATAATTTAAAACACCGCTCTTTTGAATTTGACTTGCAAGGCAACGGGGAGACCTCAAACTGGATCCAGATCAGGAACCAAATCAAAACGATTGGCGGTAAGGCCCTGCACTGGCTTAAGCACTGGCCGCAATGGCAACGCAGACTTTGTTAGACATCAACTTGATCATGTGTCACGGTGGTGGAGTGGCATCACACGTGGCCGAATGGTGCCCGTGATTCAGGGCCTTCTCAAATGAATGGATCAATCAATCTGTTGTGATTGTTTGTTTCAGCATTTTGTTTGCAGTCTTGGAGCACTAATAAGCCGGAGTCATAGTGTTGTCGTAATGTGAAAGGCGTTGTGTGATTCGCTGTAAACTTGTGCGCAGTGCGCACGTAACAAGTTTCGCTCCAGGGCTCGGGGAAGTCCTGGGACTTAGTCTTGGGTATTTTTGTAAAGCTACGACAGGGCAGGGTATGATTTTGATTATTATGGTTTGCTTTGTGTCTTCGAAACCTGGAGAAACCATGTTTGCAGGAACATGTGTGTGACGGACCCATTTTGGAGACCCTCACAATTCAGACTGGAGTGGATGCCAAACGACACGGAGGAACTCATCGCCAGCAATTCATTTGTTTGAACATGTTGGCAAGTGGTCAGGTTGGTCCTTGGTTTTCCACAGCTCCCGCACGCAGTGGTCTGTGAGTTTGACAATTTGAGCAGTTGCGAATCGGAGTGGTACGCCATGACTTCAGGCGTTTCAGATGCGATCCTTCTTACAGTACGTACACACGTTTGACTTTGGTTTGCTGGACCATTTGAATTTATGAAAGGTGTGAACAAGATCGTCTAGCATTCGTCACCTCAGTCAGTGGAGGAGTCCTGCTATTGATTCAATGACGATATTGTAAGAGTTGGTGGCAAGAACCATTGAATCAATCAATGATCAAGCAGATCATGTGTGTTTGCATGGTACCCGACATTGCTAAATGGTTCGACGTACATGCACAGATGATGGTTCATTGTTTGTCCGCATTGGGCTGGCTTGGATCAGACGGAGAGATTCGGAACCGGGCAATGTCCACGCTCATTTGCAGAGCAGCTTTTGAAATGTTGCCTGGCCATGTGTTGCAGTGTAACAATTTCACAAGGCAAGGCAATATTGGCTTTTACGGTGCCAGCAAGTGAGGATTTTCGATTTAAGATGAAGATCACCAGTGTGAATTCCAGCTCATACTGTTGCAAGCCCTCAATTTTGTTCTGGGCCGTCAGCTTGGCAGCGATTGTGTTTCTTGGATGTGTGCTAATTGCACGTGCGTGCAGTCCAACTATTGACATTGACAATTGATTGGATGAGATGGACGACGCACTTGCGAGTCTCAGTCAGAGAGGAACATTTCATGCAAGACCTTCTAAGGTCGAAATTTCACTGAGCGTTTACAGCAGATAATTTTGACCTTAGAAGTTCAGGCGGGATGTGAGCCTGACAGCCTGGACCCTGTTTTTCCTGGAGTGGACTCAAGTTCAAGGTTGTTTGACGCGAGAGGGCCAATGCGAGAACTACGACGTAGAGACTCTGAAGACCTTCGTGGCAGCAGCAGTCACGAGAATGTGACACAACAGTCAGACTCAGTGACTCAGACCCAGACCTTTGTGCAGAGCTGGGCAAGTTTGGCGCAAGAGTTTGACGTCACACGCGACGTGCCGGAAATCGGAAATTCGTGGTGACCAAGTTGCCAAGGCGGAAGACTAATCTGGTGACCTGGTGACAAAGCAAACAATGTGTCAGAACAGAATTCGCAGCCAGATTCAGATGCAGAGCCATTTTCTTCGTGCTCACTTTGTGCAAGATGAGGGCAGATGTCAGACGGAGAAGAGTTCGAGATAATGATGTGACAATGTGGAAACATAATAGGCTGTTTTCGTGGCCACACGTGGCAGGCTTGACCGCAGTTCCTTGTGTGTACTGTACACGTGGTGCACACATTGAATGCATCATAATGATTGCGGTTTGGAGCAGGCTTCTTTCAGCAGTAGTCTCCTCAGTGCAAGTGAGGACTACGACGTAGCAGAAAGTTTCAAGTTTGGACATTGAATTGGATTCGTTCGGGCTGACTGTAATGAATCACTGAACAGACTCGTTCGGGCTGACTGTAATGAATCACTGAACAGACTCCAAAGACGGGGTGAGAATCTTTTCTAGCAGTAACTCAGCCCTATCATAGGCCATGTAAGTCATGCAAAGGCTGCGACTTATTTTATACATTGAGTTGTCACAACAAGTTGACTCATTGACTCGACAGGCCTTTTTGCTCAGGAAAAGGTGTGAGTCAGCTGCGTGCAATCACCATTGATCAGCGTGCGATTGATTGACATTTTAGTTAGTCACTGACAATGATGACTGACAAATTGATGCAAAGTGACTGACTGAGTTGTCACAGGCAGTGTCGAGATACTGCAGCGTGCCAGAGTCTCAGTGACTCAGTCTCAGTCTGTCAGTCACTCAGTCTCAGTGGAGCTTTCGACTCAATTCAATGACATGGCATGGTGCGCTTTTTGTTTTCAGTGAATTTGAGATGTGAATTGACAAATTGACTGACGTCTTGCAACGTGAGGCTGAGTCACTGGGACTCAGTTAGTTAGTTAGTTACGAGATAGATTTACGCACTGACTGACTGAGCGATGATGCTGAGGCCACGTGATTATGATATTATGTGAGTTATTACATCTACAATGTCAACCAGCGTATTTGCTCGATGGCAAATATCAGGACGGACTTGTTTGGCCAAAGTGAATCTTGACTTGACTTGTCATTGAATCATTGCTGTCAGTGAATAAGTGTTGCAGAGGGCGCTCCGTGACACCTGACTGTGATATTTGTTGTCACAGGTGAGTCGATGATGATCTGTCGGTGACTGAGCTTCATTGAATTGATTGAGGGTGCATTCATTGATTGATTGCGATGCGGCTCTGAGTCTGGCCAGGACCCAGCGCCCACGGACTTGTCGAGCTGCGGGTAGGCCCGGCCCACCCATCATTAAGCTTGGCGCTTTTCTTGATCGTTTGCAGCAACAGCTGTCCTGACAGCCTGATCTGATGTGCTGCAAGCTGTCTCCAACTCATGGATTGATTCATGGTGAACAAACTGTTGGAACACATCATATTGCATCATCATGGCGGGGTGACTGCGACAGAGGAGGCCCAAGGACCCATTGAGTTTGGACTCTCTGCCCCAGATCGCGTTTGCTTGTAGCCATGGGGGGCCACAAGCACAACAAGAAACAGAAGACTGCGGGCGGAGGCGCCTCCATGCCATCATGGGTAAATCCCATGATGATGAACCCCATGATGAACCCGATGATGATGGGCGCCATGATGAACCCGGCCATGATGATGAACCCGCCACCGCCGCAGCAGCAGCAGGCCGACTCATCCAGTTCTGATGATGAAGAGCTGGCGCGAACACGTGCGGCCGAACCAGGCTCTATGTCTAAAGCCAAGGCCCCGCAGGCTACAGCGGCAGACCCTGTGGCCACAGCAGCAGCGGCAGCTATGGCATCCCTGGCAAGCTCCCGGGCGGCGCTTTATTGCAAAAGCGACGAGGCGCGCATCAGCAGAAGCTGTGTGATGCTCGGCGCGCTGCCCAAGGCAAGGTTGCAAACTAGTGATCGTGCTCAGCTTTGCTAGTTACCCAGGCTTCTGACCGGCAAAGAAAGAGTTGAAGCTTTTCATGTCACTGCGGCGGAGTGAGGCCAACCAGACCCCCTTTTTCAGTTCCAGTGCTGCTGTCTGAGTCTGGCTAGTGACGCGAGCCGCTTATCAAAGATACAGTTCACGGGCTGTTTGTCTTGCAAGCCACTTGCTGGCAGGTCCGGCTGTCGGAGGCTTGCGAGGCCATCCACGAGAGCCTGGATGCAACGACGACGAGCGGGCTTAGCGGTGACGGCCTGGCTCGGTTGATCTGGCTCCTCACGAGGCAGAGGCCAATGACAAAGCTGTCAGAGCTTCGCGTGGAGTACTTCTATGAACTCAACATGAAGCTCAGCAAGAGACACGAGCGGCTGCTCACGACGTCTCAGTCTGGCAACATGGCAGACGTGCTGAGAGCCCTGCAGGAGCAGGAAGACTGCCTCACAGATGAGTGGGTCCTTGCGCTTGCAACGGAGTGCGGGTACAAGACGGAATGGGATGCAACCTGGGTTGCGGCAAAAAAGAAGGCGAAGAAGGCTGCGCCTCCCCCGCCAACAGGCACCATGCCAGAGCTTCTGGAGCAATCCGCGATGACGGCCAAGGCCAAGCCCAAGGCCATGACCAGCTTCGTTCCCCCGACGTGGCCGCGTCGAGCTGGCGAGAACATCCTCCTCCCAGCCGCCAACAAGGCCCCGCCTGCGAAAGCCGGGTTAGGCAGCAGCCGCAGCTCGCCTGCAGTTCCGTCGCCTCCTGTGCCGCAGCTCGCACGCCCTAGGCAGCCACCAATCATCGCTATGTCTCAGACTCAGCCGCCACCCCAGCCCGCGATGACATTGACTGTGCCATCGACTGTGCCATCGACCATGCCATCGACCACGCCATCCACCATGCAATCAAAAGCGGGGCCCCGCCCCCGCCCCGGTCTGTGGCGGTCACGATGCCCAACAGGCCTCTTGACAGGGCTCCTGCAACCGCTCTTGCCCTTGAAGATCAGCCAAGAATCTTGCAGGAGCAGGACCAGGACCCGGGTCTGAAACGCAACTGAAGCCACGCATGTCCAGAAAAGTGTCGCAAACCTCACTGAGGCGAAGTAATTCTTTGTGGTTTAATTCAACTGTTTCGCTGGCAGATGTTTCTTTGTTCAATCAACATCTAGCCTACAAGGGCAGTAATGCTGTAGCCGCTTTGTTGATTGATGAGTTCCCGACCGAACATGACCGAATTTATACTATTTACTATTATTGCCCGAGTGCCAACTTGCCAACCCTGACTGTCTGGGTGGTGGGGTTTCGGGTGGAGTTGGGGACCCCCCACCCCTGCCAGCGACGTAGCCTAGCCTGCTAACTTCAGTTCAGAGCCATTAGGCCATGTCAACTTTCAGTGGATCTATGTGACTTCGGCCGAGTTTCGATTCAATGAAACTTGTGAGGGGCCATGTGTGGAAAGTTAGCAGCGCCAAGATCACACCAAAGGTAGTGCTAGACTAGAATCTTAGAAGTGCCTCCCTAGTAGCGGGATGAGGGTGAGTCTGAGTCTGCGTCAGGGGCACTAGTTCAGTAAGCCGTCTAATCGTCTAAGTGTTTGCCCCTGTCAGGAGAGCGAGGTTCCGTCCCCGGATGGCCATGACCGTGACTCCTACTCTGACCAGGAAGACATTGACATTGCGAGTCCCAGAGATGAGAGCTCCGAGGCCCAGCCGCTGCCGACCGACTCCATTATTGATCCGGGGCAGCCAGCGGGCAACACGGACGGGCCGCCTGAGCCGCTGCTGTGCGCCATCTGCCAGCAGGGCATGGACCACCAGACGCAGGCGCTGGAGGCTACCGAGTGCGGGCATGTCTTTCACCGCGTGTGCATTGAGCAGACATGGACTATTGGTGGAAAGCCTCGTGGATGGTGCCCGTATCGGTGCAGCAATGGTAGTGCTCCCGGACTTGGAGCTCAGGGCGATGATGAAGCTGCAGCTGGCGGTTGGGAGGCCATGGGGGCGGAGGAGATCAATGACCAGACCGCGGAGGCCGCTACTGAAGTAGATATTGTGGTGTGATCCTGCCGCTGAGCTGCCCCGTTTCCCTTTAACAGATTCCAGATGGCGTGTTAAAGTTTCAAAGTGCGATATGAATTGATCTTGGGCACGAAAGCCAATCGCAATCGGATGATGACTGATGTGACGAAATAAGCTACTACATCGCTAACAGTCTTGTTGTACACATGGCGGGGCAGCAAAGCAGGAAGCGAGTCAGGCAGCAATCCTGTGATTGTGATTGTGTCACGGGCTCGCGGGTTTTGTTCCATCAGTGGCCGACCTCAGGCACCAGCCCGGGTAGCAGTCAGTAGTCACAGATCGGAGTCTCAGACTGAGTGACTGTCAGAGCCATATTCTACTTCATTCATGTGTTGCTACGACTATGAACGACTGATTTGTTTGACATAGTTAGTCAAGTTAGTAGTTGCGGCCCTGAGACGCTCACGGACGGGCGAAATTCGACTGTGACACAATGTCACAATGATTCAATCTATGTACTTGACTGGCAGGTAGGCACGCACGCGCGCTATCATGATTGACATCTCATCAGAATGTCATAATGCTTTGTCGCAACGGGCGTGGCTGTGCTTGGGCCATTGAATTGGGCCTCCAGTGTCGTGGATCCGGCCACTGTAGCAGATCGCATACGCACGGGGAAAATGGCATTGCTCCTCACAGTGTCATGATACATGATACTGAGTTCGACATGTCACATTGTTCAATATTCATCATTCAGATGCTATCGCGCAGGTTGAGGCGGCCTCCGGTCAGGACTGCAGGATGCCCAGGCAGTGCTGTGTCACGTCCTTACATTTTCCTTGATTGACCCCCTTCGTTTGCAAGGTGGCTCGCTGGAGTGATCTCTGCTCTCTGGCTACGCCTGGAGCTCGGTCAGCTGCGTATCGAGCCAAGGTGTTTGCCAATTATCAGGAGTAACAGCCGGGTTGATTCATTGATGGGAATCTGTGTCTTGACTCATGTCATAGTGAGTATAACTATATGATGTGTGAGTCCAGCCCCCCCCCCCCACTGTGACAGGCAGCCGTCGTCACCTGACGCCTGAGGTGCCGTTGCGATTGTGATGGCATGCAGACGCAGATGAAGGCTTGGGCGTATCTCAACAATGTCACTATTAAATAATATGCGAGGTGTTTCAGTTGGGGTGAATCACTGTGAGGCATGTGATACTGGATATACTTGCAAGTGTCAGGGCTGGATGGCCTTGGGGTTCGTACATTCAACCAGTGAGACTGTCTGCCATCATTCCGTGACTCCAGGCGTCACTGGGCTCCTGTTGGTGCACGGCAGCCCTGTAATGTGGCGGCGGGCAACGATGGTGGAGTTTTGTGTGAGTGTTGGTGTGAATGTTGGCTGACCCTTTGGGTGATGGGATGTGGGTCAAGTGTCTTGTCAGGCTGGGCGTGTCGCTGAATCTGCAGCAGCTGTGGCACCAACAAAGGGACATTGGTGCAACGTTTACAACAATTAAGCAGGAATGCATACTCATGCTAAACCAAAAGCACTTTGATCCACAAACTGCATCCTAAACCCTATGGAAATTTTGCTCAAAATTTCTCAAAATTGCTCAAAATTGCTCAAAATTGCTCAAAATGTCTCAAAATGCCTCAAAATGCCACATGTTCCTCCACCAAGTCTCAAAATGTCACAAAATGCCACTAAATGTGACAAAACTGTCATTATTTACTACACACCAGACATCACCGCTGAGTGGACAGCTTGGGGATTGCGCAATGGAGTACGGGCCTGTGCGCAGCAAGATCTCAGACCGCGCATGTGCAATGTGTGCAGCAGCCAGCGCAGCGGTTGCAGAGCATGACCGCGTGGACAAGCTCTTCAAAAGGTCCTGTCATGATGTGGATGCTCACCTGTTTGCAGATGTGGAGGGCTTTCCACTGAACGCTGTGGGTGATCTGGTGTGGTTTGACCTGGATGAGAGGAGTAAGATCGAGCGGTTGATTGCCAGGCTTCTGCGTTACGACAAGGCGCACAGTGGCGGCAGAGCCCCTGATGTGTGGCATTGCTTACTGTCGAGCGTGTACCCCTTTATGACCTCCTGGGGCATTGACAAGATGCTCCTGGCCTTAGTGCTCAGGACGCTCCACAATCGGGCAAGGGGGCGATGTTGGGTGCAATATATTGAACACGCGTGCGGGCGAGGCAACCTGAGCAAAGCAGCACTTCGGCGGGGGCTGCGAGGGGTCAGCTTCGACAAAATCTACAGCAGCTCACACGACGTCCTTACCATCGCTGGTCTGCGCCTTTGGCTTCTCGCGTTAGCAGCATCCCTGCCAAAGTGCCTTGTGTGGCATGGTACCCAATGCTCCAGCTTTGTGACGCTATCGCTTTCACAGTCCTTACGTTACAAAGAGAACGACTGGTTGGGTGATCAAGACAAACTCTTTGTGAAAGTTGGCAACATGCTTGCTGACATCACAGGGTTGACCATGTGCCTGGCCTTCCTGATGGACGGGGTGGAGGTTTTGGAACAGCCCCTCAATTCCCGCATGCCACTCACACCCTGTCTTCGGGCTGCCTTGGTCTTCACCTGTGCGCAGAAGATAACGACTTATCACAGCTGCTTCGGGGGCGAAACATTAAAGCCGTTGCAACTGTGGTCAAGCTGCTCCATGATGACAGCCCTAGCGCGGGACAGGCCTATTGTGATGCGCAGTGACGCTGTCCTGGCTCGCCGGGATAAGAACGGAGGTTTCACGGGTGTGAAGCACCTTCTGCTTGAGTCGCAGGCATACACTTTGCAATTCGGGGATGCAGTTA